ACATCCTTCCTCACAGACCCCGCTCTCCTCCCACCCACCCCCACAGGGTGGAGATCACCCCAATGGGGATCAGGATGCCACAGGAGGGATGGTGCTCTGGAACCCCCACGTCAACCCTGGTGGGGCCTCTGTCCCACCACTGAGGGCATCTCCCCAGCCTCACCTCTTCTTCCTCAGGCTCATACTCCAGCACAGGGGCTGCGATGGTGAGCTGGAGGACAGACCCCCCCCTTGCCAGTTCTGGATGGACATGCTCCCCAGCTTCTGCCCATGCAGGCACCTGAGGCAGGAGAGCAACACGGGGATGTTCCCAGGCCGCCTCCAGCCCCAGGCCACCCGTCCCCATCAGGATATATTGCAGGACCTCAGAGTGCCTGGAACAGCTGCCCCCACCTCCCACCCCAGGGGTTCTGACCCGTGGCTGTTCACCACCATGAAGACCCTCCTGGAGCGTCCTGGCTGCTCCGAGCTGGTCCCATAGCACTGATCCACGTGGATGTTCAGGGAGATGCCAGGGCTGAAGTCAACCCTAGCCTCCAGGTGGACAGCAGAGCCGGTGCTGAGCACCAGCGGCTTCTTCATGGCACTGGGGTCCCCTGAAGGAGAAGGGAGGGTGGGCTCAGTGTGACATCCCTGAGCCCGTCCCACCACAGCCAGGGACATGGGGCGCACCCCAGACACCACCCATAGGTCTCTCTGCCTGCACTCTTGCCTGCAGCTCCCCCATTTCAGAGCCCATCACCTCTCCCTGGAAGCCAAGTGCTGTCCTGGCTTTGCCACCCTGGTCTGGCTTCCCTGCATGTTCTCCAGAGCCCAGCACCGTCCTGTGTCCCCCCATGGAGCTGAGAGGGACCCCGTCACCCGTCAGACCGACAAGGGGCAGCCTGGCCCCCAACAAGCTGATTGCAGAGGCAAGCACAGGATGGGGACCATCTCAAAAGCGCTGCTGTTCAAAGCCCTACACCATCCATGAGACTGGGAGGGGTGGTCCTGCAGTCAAGGCCACCTTCTCGTGGTGGGCCCTAGCACTGGGGCCACCTGGGAGAAAGTGCTGGGTGCTGATGGCCAAGCCCCAGGGGTCTTGGCTGGACCCATCCTGTGGTCTCGCCCCCCAAAGTTGGCACCCAACACAAGACCCAGAGCACTCACCATCCAGGAGCCTCAAGGTGAAGTTCACGATGGACTCCTCGGTGCGGGTGTGAGCATTAGCCCCACCAGGCACGGTGGCAGCAGTAAGCACCAGGGCTGCAGCCCTCGTCCCCGTGCCCGAGGACACCACTGAAGCCACTGCTGTGGGACTGGAGGATGCTGGAGCCACAGTGGTCCCTGCAGCGAGGGCAGGGTTTAGCCAGCGGGGCTGAGCACACAGCAGTGCATCCCAGGCTCAGTGAGGACATCTAGGAAGCCCTCGGACGTCCCCAGGACTCATGGAGAGCAGGTGGTGCCACACAAGATGGAGAGAACACCCAGGAGCTCGACTGGGTTTAAGCACATCAGGGTGCTGCCCCAACCCTGGTTACCCCAGCCAGGACCTCCCCTGCTCTTGGTGGCCAGGCTCTGGCATGGGACCACCACAGTGGTGGGTGCTGGAGGAGAGGGTGCTCCACACCCCCCCCAGAATGCCAGGTTGAGCATCTCCAGCCACACCTGGGAGCATTCCCCAGCACCGGGAGTCCAGCCAGGGCTGGGGAGGGCCCAAGAACTGCTCATGGGATGGGAGACCATTGTCAGCAGCCACATACCCCACCGGTGGCTCTAGTCCCCCCACCCAAACCAGGTCCTCGTAGATCTGCTGGGACCTGGGGGCACAGGATGCTCCTAGCAAGCCCTCTTGCTCCAACCCCACACCCCCAGAGCACAGGGTCATTTTTAGAAGGCTCCTTACCACCAAGGGGACCTCCACCACCAAGCCCTGGAAAGCACCAGGAAGCAGCACTGGGCAAAACCAAGGGGCACCCCCCACCCTTCTGCACCCAGACATGGACACCACCACCCACCTCCCCCAGCAGAGTCTTTGGGGAAAAAGAAGGGGAGCAGCCAGGGGGGCCCCAGCCCCACCACTCACCTGCCACCCCCAGCACAGCCCCACCCACCAGCACAGGCCCATCCTCAGGGAGCAGCAGCCCCAGCCCCACCGCCTGGGGGCCTTTAAAGACCAGGGCTAGGTGCCAATGGGCCCCAGCTGGGGCTGCTGGGTTTGGGGGATTTGCTTGATTTTCTGGGCAGTGAATCAGCAGTCCCACACTGTCCCAGTCCTGGTCCCACCACTCAGTCCCAGTCCCGCCGCACAGTCCCAATCCCACCGCTCAGTCCTGGTCCTACCACACAGTCTGGTCCTGCACACGGTCCTGGTCCTGAACAAGGTCCAGGTGCCGCTGCATGGTCCCAGACCCACCACACAGTCCTGGTCCCATGCATGGTGCTGGACCCACCTTGCAGTTTTGGTCCTGTCCACAATCCTGGACCAACCACTTTGCCCTTGGTCCCAGTTGCACCACTGGTGAGGTCTGGTCTCACTGCTCAGTCTTGGTCCCATGGATGCTCTTGTACCCATCACATGGTCCTGATCCCATCATGGTACCTGTCTCAGTCCTACACACCTACACAGTCCTAGTCCCACCACACAGTTCTGATCCCACCACTCAGTCATGGTCCCACTCACGATCCTGGTCCCACCACACGGTCCTGGTCCCATCATGGTCCCTGTCTCAGTCCAACATGTGCTCCTAGTTTCACCACACAGTTCTGATCCCCCCACACGATCCTGGTCCCCCACCACAGTGCTGGTCCACAATGCACCATCCTTGTCCCATTACGGCCCTGCTTGCAGCCCCAGCCCCAGCCCCACCACATGATCCTGGACCGTGGTCCCAGCTTGGTCCCATTTATCGAGAACAAAAGCCAGTAGGAGGAGGCTGCCGGGTGCTGGGATGGGGGCAGTCAGCAGGAGGACTCCCACTCTGTGGCCCCGGGCTCACGGCCAGCTGCCCCCCGGGATGGGCAGCCCTGGGGCATGGGCAGGAGCAGGAGCGCGGCCACGGCCAGGACAGAGACACTGGGAAGTGCATGCAGCCGTGGCTCCTGCCTGTCCAAGGTGGCCCCAAAACCCCATTGCAGCCCCCTCTGAGTGGGTTGCGCTGGTGGCCCGGGCACAGAGGGACAGGGAGCAGGTCCCCCTGGGGATGCCATCCTGGGTGGGCTGTGCAGCTGACCTCCTGCCTCGGAAGGGGCCTTTCCGCCCCCCATCTGCAGAGGGAACTGGCAGCCAGGGTTGGATTTGGCACCCGCAGGGGACCTTAGTGGGGGGAAGAGGGGACACAGGGTCAGGGGAGACACCCGGGGCCCTCAGGGAGGTGCCTCAAGCTCTGCGTCCCCAGCACCCATGGGCAGCATCACGCACAGTTGAGTTGGTGGCCCCGGCTCCAGACTGGCCCTCAGGGCTCACGCCCACCCCAGTACAGCAGCGGAGCTGGGACCTGGTGGCCCGAGTGAGTTTTGTCACCCATGACGGCTGTCCCTGTGGCTCCAGTGTCCCCTGCGAAGTCAGCAGACCTTCCTGGTGGCATCCGCGCACCGTGGGAGCCCTGTGCCAGCACCCGGGGGGCCCACAGGGGCAGCAGGGACAGATCCAGGCATCCCACCCGCACTGGGGGTCCTGTTCCCCAGTGCTGCCCAGGCGACATGGGGGTCCCCAACCTCTGGGACTGACGGGGGGAGCAGAGCCGGGGCCCTGAGGAGCTGTCAGGCCACACTCCAGACAGAGCAGGATGCAGCCCCCCAGGAGGAGCAGGGACCGGCCGCGTCCTGCTGCAGCCGCACAGCCCCGTGCCCCCCAGCCCTGGAGGAGGAGGGGACAGACGGACGGAGGCTGGCTGGGCCATCCTGGTGTCAAAAACTGCCAAAGCAACGCTTATCTTACAAAAGTAGAATTGCTTTTTTATTTCTGGTCTTTACAAAGGGAGCAGAACACGGGCTGGGGGGCTGGCGGGGGTCCCTCCGCTGCCGGGGAGGCTCAGCTGCAGGTGCCACCTCCACGCCTAGCCAGGGCCTCTCGGCAGGACGTGGCATTGCTGGTGTCATCCAGCCCAGCCGGGACGCCCAAGGGCTGTCCCCATCCTCGGCATCGCCCTGTGCCCGTCGATGGCATCACCGGGACAGCGGCTGCTGCAGCCTGCTCCCCGCCTCCCCACACCAGTTCTCACCAGACCCCGTGGGCCTCCCGGGCTGTCGGGGGCTATGGGGCCCTCCAACCAGGACGGTGTGGGGCTGGGAGAGGACCCGCCTGCTGCAAGGCCTTTCACCCACAGGGACCACGAGCCCACTGGTGAATGCCAGGGCTTTTGGGGTGGGTTTTCCATTCTCCAAATGCCTCTGGGTCACAGCCAGCTGAGGGTGAGCTGAGAACGTGCTGCACTCATCACACCCATTGGCCAGAACCTGCCAGAGCGGTGCAGCAGGCTCCGACATACAGCCCCCAAAGCCAGACCTGAGGGGAAACGGAGTGATTTGAGAAGCCCCTCGAGGTTCATGTTCCCTGCCAGCAGCTCTGCCCACCTCTGGGCAAGGAGGCCCCCACTGCTGCCGCCTGGGCACATCCCTGCCCGCACCACCCAACCCGCAGCATGCCACCAGCCACATGGTGGTGGATGTCCTGCTCCCGCTCCGACGAGGCCATGTCCTTCACAAATACCCTCTCCGACCTTTCCGTGGGGAAGGAAGAAGTGGATCCTGCTGGAAAAAAATCCACCAGCAAGCCCCCAATCCTTGACCCCTCGGCAGCAGGGTTGGAAGCGGAGGCTCTGCTCTCCTTGCCAGAAGGTGATGGCAGCCCCTCCAGCGGCTCCTGCCCAGGCTGGGGCCCTGCAGGACGGTGACAGAGGGTCACCCCAGGTGCTGGAGCCTCCAGCCAGTTCTGCTCACGTCCAACCAAAAGACACCATGAGTAAGAAAAAGGAAAGCACCTGATTCTTCCCCGGGGAGAGAGGGGCGCCCACCGTCCCCTACCACTTCAGGAAGTCCCGCACGCGGCTCCACAGCTTGGTGATCCAGAGGTTGACCCCCAGGTCGGTCAGGTACTGGATTTCGGGCGTTAGCATCTTGCGGCACAGCTTCTGGTGCTTCTTGTTGATCTTCTTCTTCAAGTTGTAGCCCAGGATGGACTTCTCCCCCAGCGGCTGCCAGGGTTGCATGGAGGACTCTTGGATGGCACTGGCATCCACGGGGTGTCCCCCATCAATGCAGATGCTCCTCATCTTCTCATTCTCCCGCTGCAGCTCGGCCACGTCCCTGGCCATCCGCTCCCTCCCGTAGGCCTCCACCTTACGCCAGAAGGTGGCATTAAAATAGCTGTAGAGCTTGGCGTCGATGAGGTTCCAGGAGGTGGCCTTCTCGTAGAGCTCAGGGGTCAGACGGGAGACAGTGGAGCCCTTCCGGGCGTTGAGCTTGAAGTAGAGGACATCCTCCAGCTGCCAGCACAGCAGGTCCTTCAGCAGCACCAGGGACTCGTCAAAGTACTCGAGCAACATGACGAGGTGGAAACGGCGATCAATCTCCCGGATGTGCTCCTCCACCAGCGGGCTGTTTGCATTCATGTTGTTGTCGTAGCCCAAGTCAAAGAAGAGGAGGTTTTGGAGGTAGTGAGCGTTGAACCCGTTGGGGTCATAGTAGTGCCAGGGGTCCCGGAGGAACTCCGCCAGCTTGTCGTCCCCCATCAGCTTCCAGGTGAGGGGGATGACGCGCCCAAAGTAGTGGAAAGAGGACTCAAAGAGGTAGGCAGGGTCCCGCAGCACTGTCACAAAGGTGGCGTCTGCAGGCAGGAGCTTGCGCACCTCCTCGTAGTGGAAGCGCATGTGGTTGCAGATGATGTTGAAGCACGCGCCCGGCCGATAGTGCTGCACCTGGCTACGCTCGAAGAAGGAGGGGTAGTAGAAGTCATTGCGGCCGTTGGGGAAGGCGAATTTCAGGCGGTGCTTCTCCCCGAAGCGGAAGAGGATGTTGAGGATGGTGCTGCTGGCTGTCTTGTGTGTCTTCATGAACATGATGTTCAGCTTGCGCAGGCAGCTTCGTCCCGCAGGATGCTGTGGAGAGGGCAGCTTGGCCAACACGGCCCAGCCACCACGAGGGCTTGGCCATTTTCCTTCCTAGAGGAGCTGGACTTGGGGACAGGTGTTTGCCCCCAGCACCCCCCAGGCTCCCCAGTGGAGCCGAGCCACCCATTGGGACTGGGGTGCCCACCCGGCAGGAGCCCCTAGGCGAGCAGGTCTGAGCCCACTGCCTCCTGAGCCCCCTGACATCAGGTGCGCCTCCGAGCCACCAAACCAAGCTCATTCACCCCCCGGGCAACCCCAGCCGCTGAGAACACATCGCTGTGGGGGTCTTCATGGTGGTCAGCCCCCACTGGCATCAGTGCAGCCTGAGCGGGGGAGTCCTCCTCCCTCCCCACAGGCATGGCTGTGGTGGCCCTGGTTACAGGTGATGCTGAGACAGGGATTGAGATGGGCTCTCCGTGGCCATCACTCCACGGACAGGAGCTCGCTATCGTTCTCACAAGGTCTGGATGCTCTCAACCCCTTGTAAGGAGCCGTGGAGGATCCAGCACCAGAGCAGAGAGGGAAATGGCCCCGCAGACGAGCTCATGTGCCCTCAGGGAGCACCGAGGACAACTTGTGTGTTATCTGAGATGCCCAAGCAGGGAACAGAGACCACAGTGTCCAGTGACTTTGGATACCATTAATGAAGTTGCAAAGCTGGTCCTGGATAATGCTCTCAACTGGCAGCGCAGGGGACCGCAGGTCGGCGCATGGCTTACAATCTCTTTTATTAGCCTAGAGATAGATTTAATGCCAGGAGGGATGGCCTTACCAAGCACTGGCTTCCGCCAGGCAGCAGGAAGCTTTGAACCCGTCTCTGTGAGTGAGAGATTACCCATGGCAGTGCTCTGGTTGCCCTTGAAGGACGAGCCCTTGATAAAGAGCACCCCAATAACTGCCTCGGCTCTGCCTGCTGCTCCTGGCTGCCAGAGGACGTCTCCATGGTGCTTCATGTCCCCGGGGGACACGAAGCCGCAGTAGGCAGGGGGGTTTCCTGCACTTCCTCGCCTCTGCCATCGCCCAGGAGCTGAGCATTTTGCAGCAGGCTCCCCCGGGGTGAGTGTCCCCAGACCCCCAGGGGAGTTGGGGTTTGCCTTCCCCCCCACCCATGGGACAGGGCACAGCCCCAACGAGAGGCTGGAGGAAGGGGACGTCTTGGTGTGAAGCCCCTGGAGCCTGGAAAGCCCTGGGACTGCCTCCCGTTGGGGGTGCCCAGTGGGCAACAGGGCTGGCCGAGCTGCTGGGGGAGTGGGGGACACACAGGGACCCCCCACACTCACTCTGTCACGCTGACTTGCAGTGGGGGGATGGCATAGGAGTAGAGCAGCAGCATGAAGCTCGTCAGGAGGGTCCCCAGGATGAGCCCCTTGCACATGGACCTCCAGTGCTTCCCATGGTGCAGCATCGTGGTCACCTGCAGCGGGGGGAGAGGAGAGCCATTAGCACTGGGGGGCAGGGGGGACCATGTGGTTCAAATCACAAGCAAATAAGGTATGGAGGCATCTCATGGGCATGGGAAGTCCCGGGAAGCATCTCACCAG